GCGACCCACCGCGACCCACCCGCGACCCACCCGCGACCCACATTCGACCCAAACCACGTTCAAGGTACAAACCAACATTTTCGGCGCCTGCGGCGGGCTTTTTTGCAGTCCTTCCAGGTGGAGAGCCCGCGACCCACCCCGCGACCAACTCGCGAGCAACCCGCGACCCAAACCACGTTCAGGGTACAAACCACATTTTTCGGCGCCTGCGGCGGGTATCTTTTGCATTCGTTCTGGGTGGAGAGACCGCGGCCCACCCGCGACCACGTGCAGGGTACAAACCACATTTTTCGGCGCCTGCGGCGGGCATCTTTTGCATTCGTTCTAGGTGGAGAACCCGCGGCCCACCCGCGACCCAAACCACGTTCAGCGCGGACCCCAATCCCACCAGCCCCTCCCGGGAGTAGTGGTCTAGAGCAGATCCTCTTTCAACCCCGCCCTCTCTTCCCCATTGGGGAGGGGTTTTACCCCTCCCCCTACCCCCTCCCTGGACCTGGACGGGGGGGGCCGCGGGTAGTTAGAGCGTCCCAGATGGCCCAAGACGGCTCCAAGAGCGCCTCAGAGAACCCAAGATGAGCTCCAAGATGGCTCAAGATAGCGCAAGATCGCTCGAGATGGCTCCTCAGATGGTTCCAAGAAGCCCAAAGACGGCCCCAAGATAACTCCAAGTGGCCAAACAGCTCCCCAAGGAGGCCCCGAAGAGGCCAAAATCGTCCCAAAACTTAAGGAAAATCAATGATTTTTGCTTTCTCGCCTTTTCGCTTCCGATGGCCATCCGAGGCCTGGAGATGGCTCCAAGATGGCCCAAGAGGGCCCCAAGAGAGCCCCAAAAGAGCCCCAAGACGGCCCCAAGAGCGCACAAGAGCACTCCAAGAGCGTTCCAAGAGGGGTCCAAGAGGCGATTTTAGGGGCTTCCGAGGGGGGGCGCTAATTGAACCCCCCCTCTTGTTTGATCGACTCCCTCCAAGATGGCCCCAAAAGCGCCCCGAAGGCTCCCCAGAGCGCCTCAAGAGGGTCCCAAGAGGCGCCCAAGATGCCCCAAGGCGCCCAAAAAGACCTCCAAGAGGCCCTCAAAAGACCCCCAAGAAGCTCCTTCCCCTCCTCCTCCTCCTCCTCCGATTCTTCCTCCTTCTCCGTCCTCCTCCTCCTCCTCCTCCTCCTCCTCTTCCCCCTCCTCCTCCTCCTCCTCCTCCGACGACGACGATGACGACGACGACTCCTCTTCCATCCTCCCCCTCTCGGGGTCTGTGACAGCTTCCCCCGCCCTTTGTTATTCTGCATGCTCCCCGACTTCCCTGATCACCTCAACTCCCCTGAGCATCGTTTCTGGATGGGCTGGTGGGGATACGCGAAGCGTCAACAATTTTTTCGGCGCCTGCGGCGGGCTGCTTTTGCAGGAGGACGAGGAGGAGGAGGAGGAGGAGGAGGAGGAGGAGGAGGAGGAGGAGGAGATATGATGAGAAGTGGAGGGGAGGAGGAAAAAAAGGAGGAGAGGAGAGGAGGAGGGGGAGGAGGAGGAGGAGGAGGAAGGGGAGGGAGGAGGAGGGAGGAGGAGGACGGAGGAGGAGGAGGAGAGAAGATGGAGGAGGAGGAGGAGGAGGAGGGAGGAGGAGGAGGAGGAGGACGGAGGAGGAGGAGGACCATGGGAGGGGGTGAGGGAGTAAACGGAGGTGAGGAGGGGGAGGAGGAGGAGGAGGAGGAGAGGAGGAGGAGGAGGAGGAGGAGGAGGAGGAGGAAGGAAGAGGAGGAGGAGGACGAGCGAGGGGACAAACGATGAGGAGGAAGATGGATGAGGATTGAGGAATGAGGATGAGGATGAGGATGAGGCATGAGGAGGAGGAGGAGGAGGAGGAGGAGGAGGAGGGGAGGAGGTAGGAGGAGGAGGAAGGAGGAGGAGGAGGAGGCGGGAGGGAGGGGAAGGAGGAGGAGGAAGGAGGAGGAGGAGGAGGAGGAGGAGGAGGAGACGGGAGGGGGAAACAGTCAAACAACACAGAAGAATGCGCCAGGTGCTCCCGCCGATGGCCGCCCCGCCCCAGGCGGCGGCGAAATGCGCGGGGGGGCCTGCGCGGGCGCCGCGCTCTCCGCGCACGCGGCCCACAGGGCAGCACTGCGCCGGAGAGCGCGGTTCGCCCGCCCCCCCGCGCGAGAGACGCCCCGAAGGGTCAGCAGGGCCGAGGCCACAGCGACAGCGAGAGCCGAGGCGGGCAGGGAGGGCAGGGAGGCGGGATGGGAGTGGGAGTGGGAAGGGGGGAAGGGGACGCGGGGGGGGGGGGCGGAAGTTGCGAGGGGGAGGGGAAGGCGAGGGGGGAGAGCCGTAATGGAGGGGGGAGGATTGGGGCGGGAAGAGGGAGGGAGGGAGTGAAGGAGGGAGGAGGGGAGGGAGGAGGGAGGGGAAAGGGGTGAGCGGGAGGGGGAGCGAAAGGAGGGATCGGGATGGGGGAGCGAGGCAAGGGAGAGAAAGGGGGGCGAGGGAGAGGATGGAGAAGATGAGCTGGGAACAGCAAGACCAGGAAGGCGACGACCCAGACATGCGATACGAGATCCCCGAAAGTTCCGACCCTTTCCCCAAGGCCAATGTTACATCCCGAGTCGTCTGTTGATGGTCCCGGGGTCCAGCAATGGCCCTGGAGACCAGACATGGCGCAGAGCCTGCCGTCGTGACTTTTTAGACGCGAGCATGCCTGGGGGCGAGAGGAGGGCGAGGAGGAGGAGGAGGAGAAGGAGGAGGAAGGCGAGGAGGAGGAGGAGGAGGAGGAGGGAGGGGGGGGAGGGGAGGACGGAGGAGGAGGAGGAGGAGGAGGAGGAGGAGGAGGAGGAGGCGGAGGAGGAGGGCGAGGAGGGGGAGACGAGGGGGCGAGGAGGGCGAGGAGGGGGTCCAAACCCTGGCTGTCCCTGTGGCTTCGGGCCGCCCTGAGAGGAGGGTCGTGGCAGGCCTGGCGAGGTCGAGCACCGCGTGGCGGCAGAAGACTGGCGCAGACTCCTCTGCCAGCCTCCTCCTCCTCCTCCTCCTCCTCTCCTCTCCTCCTCCTCCTCTCCTCTCCCTCCTCCCTCTCCTCCTCCCTCCTCCTCCTGCTCCTCCTCCTCCCCCTCCTTCTCTCCTCGCCTCCTTGCCTTCCTCCTCCGCCTTCCTGTCCTCCTCCTCCTCCTCCTCCTCCTCCTCCTCCTCCCGCTTTCCTCCTCCTTCCTGTTCTTTCATTGCCAACCTCCTCATTCTTCATCTCTCGTCTTCTGCTGAGACGAGGCCAGGACGATATAACATCGGACGGGGAGAAATCAAGAATCTCTGAGATCCGGCGGCCCTGGAGGATGTCTCGGGCGCCGCGGCCTTCTCAGAGCGTTTCAGAACGCTCTGAGAGCGTTCCAGAAAGCTATGGAACGGACTCATCTTCGTCCTAGACCCGTCCGATCTGCTCCTCCTATCACCTCCTATGCTGTCATTCTCCCAATCCCTATCCCTTCCCATCCCTTCGTCCCTCCCGAGCTATTCTCCCGCCAATCCTTCTTGCCCCATCCAACCCTTCACTGTCCATCTCCTCCTCCTCCCCCCCTCTTTCCGTCTTCATGGGGAACACGAAGATACAGAGACCGCTACGCCCCAGACTTCTCATCGGGAGAGTTCTCACTGAGATTTCGAGGCGAATCCAGCCGTGGCAACAAAGATACTGGCATCAAGAACAGATGTTCCTTACATGGCTCCTCCTCGTCCTCTGCCTTCCCTCCCGCCTCCTCGGAATTGTCCGAATTATTACGTTACCTTATTCTTCCTATATTGTTTCCTTACACAGGGTTTCCCCAAATGATCCTTGGGCTTGTTTCCTAAGAAAGCGTTTCGTGGGTTCCTTGGTCTCGCGTTCCTCAGGGTCCCCGGGTTCCCTGGGTCCCTTGGTCTTGTTTCGTAGATGTGTTGAAAGGCCAGCACTCCTCGGGTTCCCGGGTTCCTTGGTCTTGTTCACTTCCAGTTCTTGAAGCAATGCGAAGCACTGCGAAGCAATGTCAAGCAATACAGATACATGCCAATCGATGCCAAACAATGTAAAGCAATGCGAATAAATTCCAAACATTGCCAAGCAATGCAAGTCAATGCCACGCTCTGGAAATCATGCCAGGCAGCGCAATGCCAAGCAATGCCACGCAATGTCAAGCAACGCAATGCAATGCCAAGCAAGGTGACGCAATGCAAAGCACTGCGAAGAAATGTCAAGCAATACAAATTGTACATGCCAATCGATGCCAAACAATGTAAGGCAATGCGAATAAATTCCAAACATTGCCAAGCAATGCAAGTCAATGCCACGCTCTGGAAATCATGCCAGGCAGCGCAATGCCAAGCAGTGCCAAGCAATGTCAAGCAACGCAATGCAATGCCAAGCAAGGTGAAGCAATGCCAAACAATGCCGCTTAGGAAGCGTTCCGCTAGTTGGGGGCGCGCCAGGTCTAATCTTATTGCTAAAATTTTCGCCGTCGCCCTTGCCACCAGCCCTTGCATTATCATGATTGTCGTTCTTCATATTCTTATTCACACATTTCGCCCTCGTCGCGCTGGTATTGCTACTCTTCGCCTCCCATCATGCGCATTATTATTTCCAGTATTCTCCGATTCTCCGACTCTTATCATATCAGTGCGCACAGCATCGTCCAATTTCTCCGATTATTTTTCTTTTTCTTCTCGCCGTCGACGTCGTCGTCGTCGTCGCCGCACTCGCGGCTCGCAACCAGAGCCGCCAGCCGCGCCGCGCCGCGCTGTCAAGCGGCCGGCTGCGCGTGCGCCCGCGTCGGCGACGCCGGCAGCCGTGCCTGGCGGGAGCGCTCTCATCGTCGTGGTCGCCGTCGGGGGCGCCGCCGTCGTCGTCGGCGATGGGGGGGGCGTCGTTGTCGTCGTCCTTGTCGTCGTCATCGTCGTCGTCGTCGTCGTCTTCGTCTTCGTCGCCGCCGCCGCCGGCAGCGCCGTATTTCGTTGTATATCCGAAAGTTCGCACCCCGCACGGCGGGAATGAAAGTGGGTGGACACACTTTACACAACCTCGGAGATGCAGCAGCACAAGCTGAAGAAGAAGGAGTCCAAGGAGAAGGACCGCCCTCATGATAACCCCAAGAGAAGAAAGACCCCAAGAGAAGAAGGAATCCCAAGAGAAGAAGGACCCCCAAATGAAGAGAAGGAACCCCAAGAGAAGAAGACCCCCCCAAAGAACAGGAGGAACATACCGCAACCACGGCAAGCGACCGCGATCCGTCTCCTCCTCCTCCTCCTCCTCCTCCTCCTCCTCCTCCTCCTCCTGCGGCCGCGAGTCTCTCCCGCGCGCCGAAGCACAATAAATGGGAGCCGGCAGAATCCTCCGCCATGGGGGTGGCAGGCTGTCTAAGACAGCGGCAACTCCCAGGGGGGAGGAGGGGTCTGCCAGCCAGCGTCGCCGCCAGCTCCCCGCAGCAGTAGCAGCCGCAGCAGCGGCGCCCGCGCTCGCAGTGCCTTCAGTGGCCTTCAGCAGAGGGCAGCGCTGCCTTCTCGCGGGCTCGTGCCCGCGTGTCCAGCAGCCCCGCCGCAGCCCCGCCGCAGCCCCGCCCTGCCGCAGCGTCAGCGTCCCGCTGCCCTGCTGCTCAGCATCCTGCCGCAGCCGTCCGGCTCCGCGCCGCGCGCCGTCGCCCTCGCTCTGCGCCTAGCTGCGCGCGCTCAACGCAGCCCGGCAGCGCGCCAGAGCTGCTGCGCCAGGCCGATGGAGAGCGCCGCTGAGCACGCGGTAAGCCCGCGCCAGCTCCAAGCGCTGCTCGTCCTCTGGGAGGTCCTGGACGTGGCTCAGGAGCCAGGCCCGCGCTTCCCCGCCGAGGCGGCCCCCCATCTCCGAGGCAAGCGTCGTCAGGCGCTCGCCTGGGTAGCGCGTGCTTGGATCGCTCAGCTCGGCGTGCCGCCTCGCCCGGGCGTCTCGCCGTCGCGCGCGCGGCGGGCTCGTCGCCGGCCGCTGGGTGGCGGACGGTCGCGTCCAGCCACCGTCGCCCGTCGGTGTCCTCGTACTCAACGTCGAGGGCCCTTTCCTGGACCGCCGCCAGCCCTGGCCGCGGCGCGCGGACTCTGTCCCAGTCGGGAACACGCTGTTCGTAGAGCGGCGCGGAGTGGCTCCACCTTCCCGCGAGGCTGCCTGCGGCTCGCGCCAGTCCCGCGTGGCGCCTGACTACGCCACCGCTGGGCTGGCAGATGGCGACGTGGAATCTGGCCTCGTCCAACGGCGCTTGGCACGGCACCCCGCCAGCCGTCAGGTTCTGGCAGGTGGCCGCAACCCTCGGGAGCTCGTCGGCAGCGCACTCCGGCCTCGGCAGCTGGACTCGGCTCCGGGTCGCCGTCTCCCAGTGGGGGTCCTCCAACGCGCGCGCGAGCTCCGTGGGGTACTGGGTACTGCAAGTGCGCCCCGGCTCCTGGCCCCCCGGCGGAAAGCAGTGCCGCCTGGCTGCAGTGGTGCATTCGCTGTTTTGCAACAGCGTGCGTTCTTATGCACCGCAGCAACCAAGGTCTTCTGCCTGGTCGGGTGGCCCAGCAAGGCCTCCAGGGGCGCCGCAGGCTCAAGGTCAACGCCCTGGCGCGCCAGCTCTGCCCGGGTCGCGGCCGCGGCCTGTGGCAGGGCCGCCAGCATGTCTCCAAGAGTGGACACGCCAGAGATGCCCAGGTCGTGCTGGACCTCCGCGGCCGCCTGCGTCGATGCCGCCCAGCAAGCCGCCGCGCGTCTCGTGGCAGCCCAGTGCGCGCTGGCCCCGCCCAGTTTGCCCGGCAGCCCCAGCAGCTCGCTCGCCTCCGGGCCCAGCGGCCGTCGCAGCAGGCCCTCCCAGCAGCCTCTGAGCGCGGCGTCGTAGCGGAAGGTCTCCTCCGCCGAGGCCCCGCGTGTGCCCAGAGAGACCAGGGTGTCCTGCTTACCTATGTTCTGGGCGTAGCCTCCGAAGTCCAGGGCCTGGGAGAGGGAGCGGTTGTCGATCGCATCTGACTGGAAGGCCTGGAGCGCGGTGCCGTTGGGCACCAGAGGGATCTTAAAAAGGTCATCGATGAACGCGCCAATGCGCGCGTCATAACTCTCGGTCGAGAAGGGGCACGCTACTTGAAAAGGGTTCCCTTGGACTTCGGCCATTTCCTCATTCCATCTGGTCACCAACGGGTAAACATATCCCGCGAATAATTCAGGCTCGTTTGAATCTCCCCCCCCCCCCCGGGTGCCTGGCCGAAGAGCAAGGGGGGAGTCTGGAGCCTGGAGGTGCGCTGCCGCCTCCTCGTGATGCTGCAGAATGGCTGAAAGTGATCGTCTTCGCACCGAACAGTTTGCGCGGCGATGAGACGCATGTGATGCCCCGTCGCAAAAGCATCGCGCATGTCATAGGATTTGGCCAGGAATGCCACGCGCGCAGCTCGGAGCTTCCAGATCAAGAGCTTAGCCATCAGCATGAGGGCCTCACGGCGTCTGGAATGGATCCCTCCGTGGGCCCAGTCGGGGGGGGCGTAGGCGGCGCCGTATTGTAGCAGTCCGACAGGGAGATGCAGCCGCAGAGACTGTGGCGGTCTGCTCCCTAAAGACATCGTTTATGTTCTCAATGTCTTGCTCGAGCCGCGTGCCGCCAGTTGAAGTCTACTCCACAATCTTCACAAGACCATCCTTAACAGCAGGCATCATGACTGCAAAGCTCCATCATGGCCGGCGCAGCAGTCTGCAGAGCGTGTAAGCAAGAACATGCGACCCTCTGCCGGCCAAAACACAGACCACCCTGGGGTACCCTCCCACGGATGCACACTAACATCCAACACACACGAAGAACACCAGGGTACCCTTCCCGAGCCGACCTCGACCGTATACCTCGGTCCGACTGCACAATGTGCACAACACACGCCACCAGCCAGCTTGTCCGGCCGTCTGGGATGGAATTCGCCCCCGAATGCCGAATGGCCTGCGTCCTCTTGGGAAGGCCCCGCGCTCGCCGGCTCCAAGGACGCGGCCGCCTGCGAGGAAGAGAACGAGGCTTCCGAAGACCGCAAAGAACGAAGCGAACCTCCCTGCGTGTCCTAAATACCATGGGGCTTACTTTCGCATGTCGCAATAAAAGGGTGGTGGTCTGACCTGAGCTGTCGTGGAGGGTTCCAGTGGGGTTTGGGCAAAAGGCCGCCCATTTCATGGCTCGTATGGGGGGGTCCAAAACTGCTCGTCTGGGAGGGTTGTGACCCCTTCTCTTTGATTGCGAAATTTGGAATAACAATCATACGATTCTGATATGCCCCAGTGTCAGAAAACGCAGCAAGCTGAGACATCACAACTAAGTTGCGCCTGCCGCAACACTTCGGGGGCTGAAAGAGGAATACACAGTGATACCCTGCTGCTGAAACAGCGGAGGCTTGACTTGGCACGAGCGTAGACGCGCACTGGCGGACTCTTCAATCCTCAGCCCTCACGCCTCACCCCTGCTTCCTGACTCCGTATTCATCTCTCCTCTTCTCCTCCTCCTCCTCCCCCCTCCTGCTCCCCTTCCAGTCTCCTCCAGTCTCCTCCAGTCTCCTCCTCCTCCTCCTCCTCCTCCTCCACCTCCCCCTCCCCCCGCCTTCTGTTCCCCTTCCCCCGGCATGGCCTCCGAGCGGATCATGGGGCGCCGGGGCGCTCCAGCGGCGTCCTGCCCCCCGCTCTCCTGGGCGGGGCACGCGGGGGAGATCGGCGGCGATCGGGAGGGGCCAGGGTGACTCGGCGGGAGGGCGGAGAGGAGCATCAGTAACATTAGGGGGCCAGGGGTGGCGGGAAGAAGGATGGGGAGGAGCGCGGTCTTGGGAGCTGGGCCGCTCTCCGAGGATGCCTCGGGCGACGGGGGCCTCCAGAGTCCCCCAACCGCGCGGTGACGGGCCGTGCGGTGAGCCGCCCAGAGCCAAGGGATCTCACGGTTCTTGACGGGCCGCCCCCCCCTCGCGCCATTGTCGTCGTCGTCAGCGTCGTCGGCATCGTGCTCGGCGTCGTCGTCGTCATCATCATTAGCACCATCACCATCACCAGCACCATCACCATCACCATCACCATCACCATCACCATCATCATCATCATCATCATCATCATCATCATCATCATTGTCATCAACATCATCAACAACATCATCATCAGCATCATCATCAACACCATCATCGTCAGCATCAAAATCATCATCATGATGAGTATCGTCAGCAACATTAGCATCATCAACATCATCATCATCATCACCAACATTATCACTATCATCATCAGCCTCGTCATCATCAACATCATCATCAACATACTCTTCAACCTCTGCACCATCAACAACATTTTTACCATCAACACCATCATCATCAACATCGTCATCAGCATCATCATCAACATCGTCATCATCATCATCAGCATCATCATCATCATCATCATCATCGTGAGCATCATTATCATCAACATCATCATCAATATCATCATCGACAACATCATCATCAACATAATCATCATCAGCATCATCATCATCAGTCTCAACATCGTCATCAACATCATCATAATCATCATCACCATCAACAGCATCAACATCATCATCAACAACTTCATCATCAACATAATCATCAGCATCATCATCATGCACATAATCATCAACATCATCATCATTATCATCGTCACCAACATCAACATCATCATCAGCATCATCATAAACAACATCATAATCAACATCATCATCACCATCTCCATCAGCATCATCAACATCATCAACATCATCATCATCACCATCAACATCATCAACCTCACCATCAGCATCACCATCAACAACATCATCAGCAACATAATCATCATCAGCATCATCATCATGCACATACTCATCAACACCATCATCACCATCGTCATCAACATCATCATCATCATCTTCATCATCATCATCATCAACAGCATCATCAACAACATCATCATCATCATCATCACCACCATCTCCATCAACATCATCAGCATCATCAGCATCATCAGCATCATCAGTATCAAAGTCATCATCATAAACATCATCATGAACAGCATCATCACCATCATCATCAACACCATCATCATTATCATCATCATCAACATCATAAACAACATCATCAACATACTCATCAACGACACCATCATAATCAACATCATCATCCTCATCATCAATATCATCATCAACAGCATCAGCAGCATCAACACCGTCGTCGACATCAGCATCATCATCACCATCAACATCATCATCAACATCACCATCATCAGCATCATCATCAACATCAGCATCATCAACATCATTAGCATCATCATCAACATCATCATCAACAACATCAGTATCAACAACATCATCAGCATCATCATCAACAAACTCATCAACAACATCATCGGCACCATTTACCTAATCATCATCAACATCATCACCATCGTCATTAGCATAATCATCATCACCACCATCAGCATACTCATCATCAACATCAACATTATCATCAACATCGCCATCAACATCATCAACATAATCACCACCAACATCGTCCTCATCAACATCATCATCAGCATCGTCACCAACACCATCATCCATATCATCATCAACCTCATCACCATCACCATCACCATCATCAACACCAGCATCATCCATAGCAGCATCAACCATCACCATCAGCAGCATCATCATCATCACCTCCCTCCTCCCTCCCCGCTTGGGGGCGCGAAGGCAGCAGCTGCGCCGCGCGACCCTGCCGAGGCCCGAGTCGGGGGCAGTTCGCCCGCAGGCCCGTGGAGGTTCTCAAGACCCGAGGCCCCATCGCCAGAGGTGCCCAGCACGGAGAACACTGCAAGGCCCAGAGCCCGAGCGCGTAGAACGCAAGGGGTGCCCCTCCCGGGTCAGTGCTGTTCTTAATCCCCGTGCCCATTGTACCGCCGCCCGCGCCGCCCGCCTGCAAGCCCCACCCTCGTAGAAGATGAGAACAGGCATCATCAAACATCCACTTCCGCCAGTCAGCGCGACTTTCTTGGATAGGTACCGGGATACTGTGCAGAGGTGCGGCGCCAGAGACTGCGCGACAGCGGGGGCCGCGAAAAAAGCAGCAGCGGTCGCGCAAGAAGAGGGCTCCAACCCACATGGCTACAGGAGGAAGGAGGAGGATTGTAGTATATTGCTGATGCCCTTGAGGGTAGGCATAATCCTGATGAGTCGTGAGAGGCACATGGGCTCTCTCCCATCCTCGAAGGCGGTGCTCGAGAAGGAGGATGAGGAGGAGGAGGACTGGAACATCAGTGGCCTGGGCTCAAAGGGTCAGATTCAAAGGGGCTGGGGCCAGAACGGCCAAGGCCAGATAGGCCACGGCCAGAGGGGCCAGGGCCAGAAGGGCAAGGGTGAGAAGGCCAGGAGCAGGGTTGGAAGAGCTGAGATCAAGATCAGAAGTGGCCGAGGCTTGGCCGTCGGCGGGCACCAAGGGCTCGGGACTTCTGAATCAAGGATGCAGACTTTCAAGAGGGCAGGTGGCTGCTGCAGAGCCATCACCACCACAATCAATCATCATCGCCATCATCATTACCACCATCATCATGGTCATCGTCATCGTCATCGTCAGCGTCAGCGTCAGCGTCATCATCATCATCATCATCATCATCATCATCATCATCATCATCATCATCAACGTCAACATCATCATCATCATCGTCATCACCATCATCATCATCATCATCATCATCATCATCATCGTCATTACCATCACCACCACCAGTATCATCATCATCACCATCACCATCACCATCACCATCACCACCATGATCATCATCACCACAACCATCATCATCATCATCATCATCATCATCATCATCATCATCATCATCATCATCATCAACGTCAACATCATCATCATCATCATCGTCATCACCATCGTCGCCATGGTCATGGCCAGCATCGTCCCAATCGTCCCAATCAACTTCATCGTCTTTGCCACGGTCATCGTCGCTGAGGCTTCGATCGTACCGAGTATGCATCAAGATCATTACCACCACCATTATCGTTGTTACCGTCGTCATCAAAACCATCGTCGTCGTTATCATCTTCGTGGTCGTCATCAAGGCGGCGAGCTCGTCGCCTGGGGCAGAACCACTTTCTTGGGGTTCGTGTCGCGCTGGAGGGCCTCTGCAGACCCCCTCCCTGCTCCCTCCTCCACGCCGTTCTTTTCGTCCTCTCTCGCCCAACACACATATATATACACATGTATACACATATATGTAGAGGGAGAAAGAGAGAGAGAGAGAGAGAGAGAGAGAGACAGAGAGAGAGAGAGAGAGAGCGAGAGAGCGAGAGGGAGAGAGAGAAAGAGAGAGCCCTCCGAGGCTAGCCGAAATGACGCTGTCTCTTAGTGGGCCTCGGACCCACGGGTCCAGCACAACAATTAGGAAAACAATGCACGTGTCAGTAGCTAAGAGTTCAGCCGCGCACGGGGAAACCTCCTCCTCCTCCTCCTGCTCCTCATCATTGCTACCATCCTCAAACTCCTCCCGTCTCTGCTCGACCTTCCTCACCCCTCCTGCTCCCTCTTTTTC